ACCTTTCAAACGATCTTATTCATTTTTAGAATTCTACATTCCTTTGTTTTACCCCCAAATTTCAAGTATTTTGTCATGTATAGAAAAGTGAAAATCGAGGAGGGGAGGTGGAAAAAGAGCTATGTCTTTGTTCGTGCATTTTGATTCTTTTTCTGGCTAAAACCACATTCAAGCTTCTTGAGTATTGCAGTGTTCACATTTCAGAGTTTATGATGCAGGGGTTGGGGATTGTGTACAAAATGTGAGCTTTTTATCTGCAAACTGTCTCTGTAAATATGTTTTGGCCAATATTTTTGGTTCTCTTTTATTTTGCTATCGTTTGAAGATGTTAATGGTTTTATTGTAACTTTTAATAAGGGTAAATAAATGTTCGATCCCCTCTGTCTGTGTTTCGCCTTGTGATTCACACCTCATTCACACACTGATAAAGTAGGTTAGAGTAGTTTTAAACTAGTTTCCACACGTCATGCATACACCAAAACAATCAGTTACATAAGATGGAGCTTTATTTATCCCAAGAGAAGTTGTGCATCAGTTGCAGTACAAAGTAGGAAGGAGTACAAATTTACAAGTGCACACTGTTGCTGGCTGAGGCTTGACTGCGTACGAACTTGTCTTAGATAAATGGCGATTAAACGACTCACACTGACTTCAGATAAAAAGTTAAAAGCAACTGTGACTTATATTAAATGTGAGAGATAAACCAAGCTTAACCACTGATAAATAAAAAATTTGAAGTTGCTTGTGAACTCTGGACAGGGACAAAAGAGGTGTGTAGTATGATAAATAACGGTGAGCATTAACTAGTGGTTGCATTGGCCTGAGTCATAGTTCAGTCATCTGTATTCTGCATATAAGGTATATACACCTGCACCAGTATTGTGTCCCTAAAACAAATCATTTTAATTTGACATAGTTAAAAATATTTGAATATATTTACATTTTTACTCTCTATCCTTCAGATGTATTTTTTAAATTAGTCTTTCAGCACATTAGTAGTACACCACATTCCATTTCACTGCACATATTTGTTGTGTAAGTGACAAATAAACAGTTTGATTACTAGAATCCAAACGATGCATTTTGTGCACATGGAGCTGGGGGCGTGTATCTAGCAGAGTTCAAAGGGTACGACATAGGATTTCTTACATAATTATAAATGAATCATGGCAACGTATTTGACATATGGTCATCAGATGATGGAGTAAGTCCCACTTAAATTATTAATTCATTATCGAATGTTTAAAAAAAAATTGTGGGTCTCTCTGGCTCCCTGTGGCGGATACACGTGCTTGACACCCTGTTGCCTTCAGTAAACATGCAAACACCTAATTTGCACGTGATGAGCCGGCCAGAGTTTTAGCTATTTTAGCAAGGGCTTTACTGCCTTTTAATGAGGTGTGGAAATTGATACACGTTGTTGTGCAACACATTAAGGTAAGAAGAGCAACGTCAACTGAAACATTAATCGTACACTGACAAGGTCGACGTTTAAATAACACTACTATACTCATACTGTTCCATAGACTGTACACATAATGTGGGGTGATATTGTATGGTGATCGGACGAGGTGGCCGAGTGGTTAAGGCGATGGACTGCTAATCCATTGTGCTCTGCACGCGTGGGTTCGAATCCCATCCTCGTCGTAGCGGATATTTTCACGTAAACAATAAACCGATGTAACGTAAACTACGGCCCCGAAGTAATCTGCGCTGCATTAAACATTAGGGTGTTCATGAGTTCAATCAGATCAATGAAATCTTAACGTTACAATAAACCAGTAGGCACTCTTTATTTCTATTTATTAAAAAAAACATTTTGCGTTGTTTTGGTATGATACAGTATTCAAATCCTCAGAAATGGGTGAAAAGCCATATTTTGGCGTTTGCAAGAAACACTTGAAGTCAGCAGTGTAAGTTTTTGTGCCTGCTAATGTCATGCAATATCAATGCATATGTTGAGGAGCTTTGTTCACAACCATTGACTGACTCACGTGATTTTCCACGTCAGGGCTGAACTTACTTGTTGAAGGTGCAACGTTTAAAAGGTGTCTTTGAAAAAAAAATCCCTCAAATGTCCACAGATAGTCAGATAGAGAGAAAGTTTTGGTTAAACTTGGAGAATGCTGCTCTCTAGTGGTAACGGAACACAATGAATCTATTTTAGTCCAATATTTAGAATATTCCAACCCTAGCAGCATTTTAATATGCCTATACTGAATGTGGACATCTGAAAAGAAATGCTGCATTTAACCAACAGACGCAGTAGGAAAGTCAAGGTTTAAATAATAAAATGAATGCTGGCTGGATTCCATTTGCTTCAGTATTAGATTTTTTATTTATTTAACCTTTATTTAACCAGGTGAGTCTTGTTGAGATTAAAATCTTTTTTGCAAGAGAGACCTGGCCAAGATGCAGCAATTGAATTAAATACATTAGAGTACAGATACAGAGCTCATTAAATGCATCTAACTATAAGTGCAGTTGTGATCACAATATAGGTCTTCAGTTGAGTTACAATTCATACAGTATATGTGAATATATTAAGTTAAGAGTTAAGTAAGCAGAGTATACACAGTTGGTTATATGTGCAGTATGAAACAGTGTGGGGATTCAGTTTGTGCAAAAATATGAATAGTGCAAATAACATGTACATTAATGTAGTGTGAGCAGTACAGTGTTTGAGTGCAAATGTGCTGTTAGGTTGAAGGTCTGAGCCTGCTGCTGCGAGAGCGTAGGCTCTTGTAATGTTTGAGTGTTGAAACATCCACAGTAAGGGTAGGAGGCAGCCTTGATGATGTTTCTTGTCTTGCCCTGGCATCGCTTGTCAAAATTTATCTTAATGATGGATAACTGGGTGCTGGTGATCCATTGGGCAGTTTTCACCAGCCGCTGGAGTGCTTTATGACCTGATGCATAACAGGTGCCATACCACATTGAGATGCAGTTTGTGAGTATGCTCTCAATGGTACAGTGGTAAAATGTCTACCTGGATCCTGGCACACAGATGAGATAACAGGGAGTACAGAAGAAGGCTCAGCATGCAGCCTTGTGGCACGCAGGAGTTCAGGGTGATGGTGGAGGAGGAGAAGTTGTCTAACTTAACAAACTGGGGTCTGTTAGTGAGAAAGTCCAGTTTCAGAGGGATGTTCTGATACCAAGTCAACTGAGCTTGGAGATCAGCTTTGGAGGGGGTTACGGTGTTGATGAACTGATGAACTGAAGTCAATGAACAACATCCTGACTTAAAGAAGGCGTCCTCTGTTGACCTGGTGCAGCGATAGCCAAACTGGTGTGGGTTCAATGTAGCAGGGAGACGGGATCTGCGATTTGAAAGAACCAGTCTCTCTAAGCACTTGGCAATGATGGGGTTGAGTGCGACAGGACGGAAGTCATTAAGGGCCGAAGCAGTGGAGTGCTTCGGTACTGGCACGATGGTGGCGGTCATGAAACTAGTGGGGATAGCTGCCTGGGTCAGAGACAGATTTGTAATGTCCGTAAAGACCTCGGGCCCAGCTGCCTTGCGTGCATTCACCTTGCACAGAGCAGAGCAAACATCTGAAGTGGAGAGTGTGAGGCGCAGTTCACCAGGTAGGAGATCCACTTTGAGGGTGAACTCCTTGTTTCCTCTGTCAAAACGAGCGTAGAAATGGTTAAGCTCGTCTGGGAGGGAGGCAGAGAGCTGGGTGTTTTGAAGTCTGTGATGGTCTGTATGCCTTGCCACATACACCCAAGGTCCTGTTGTGCATGCTGGCTCACTGTCACTGTTATTAGTAACACCTGTGCCTTTCGTATGAAAAATCTAAATGTCTGCTGTGAAGCATTTGTGAAGTAATTTCTACAGTATTAAAAATGATAGACAACATACTCTACATAAAAGACAACCTACATTTGCTCTCTGGCATCTGCTGCTAAATTTAAGCCTTCACTTTTTCTAGTGAGCCTGTCACTGCACAGGCGCAGCATCATACTGTAAATACAAAATCTGTATATCTGTGGGGGAAACCTTGTAGAATGGACCTTTCTGCCAATAATTTTTACAAGCAATTAAATGTAGCAATATATGGGTCAATATAAACAAGTCTTGAAATTGGACCACATTATGACATTTCACTTGACACGTAGTCAAAACAAAAGTAGTCTGCTCCGTGTCTGCAGATTAAGCCTGAGATGAAAATACAGATGCCCTCGTCCTGTAGCATCACTGTACAGCAAGGCTACAGCTTCTTTACTCACAATGGATGAGGAAAATGCAATGACTTCAAATGTCAACTTAAAATTGTAATTCTGATCACTGAGGCAGCTTAATGGGACATGCTAAGGAATGAGCTGGATGTCACATATAGCAGAAATGACATTCTACACAAGCGGTATGGATGACCCGGGATAACGACCCCACTGAGGTTAAATAGCTGAGTTTCCCTGCCAGTCAGTCAGAACTGACGAAGTCCTTTGGATGAGGGACGAAATGTCTTCCAGTATCTTCAACCAAGTCCAGTTGCCCTTGATTTTAACCTTCATTGGATAACTATGACCTGGATGACTGAGAATCTTCATAGACATCAAAGCAGATTCACTTTGGTCCCATTAGTAGAAGAAATATGAACGCACAGGGCATCATTTTCTCAGTCATACAATTAATAAAGCTATTAACAGTGTTGAAGTAACAGAGTACTGTCATTTATAATGCTTACACCAAGGTGTTACATTTCATTAAAATGACACATTGATTGATTCACGATCCTACAATCACACACAACAACAGATTGCATTTAATGCTAGAAAAGCCAGCTCCAGGATTTTTCTCCTTGTATAGTCGGCCATAAGGTGATCAAATCTATGATGCAACGTCAGAAATGCGATATCCAAAGTAATACTACTTGTCCTCTTCTTTAACAGTATCCTACAAAATAAAACCAGCAAGTGTCGGAGAGCCTTGCAAAGGAGGGTCATGAATGTTTCATGGTCAGCTGGATCACATAACTACGATACACAGGATCTGCCCTTTTTCCCCCAAAATCTTTTTATTGAGTTATTTGCAGACAAAGTTGGTACATTAAATACTTCTGTGACAGAAGAAATTAAGAAAAAATGCCACCCACCCTCCCACCATGGTCATGGTCACAAAAAAATTAAATCAACAAATAAATAAATAAATAAAATCAAACAAAGTCAAGTGCATACTTACAAAGAGCCCGGTCTAGACATGCTTTATATGAAAAGTGCAACGAGTTAACTTTTATTAAAATTAAATGCTACAACAAGTAATTGTTTAGTAAAAATAAAATATTAATGATAATAGTAATAGTTGGTGAGCTGGAAAAAGGCATTTAGTACAATAAGTTATTGGTAAAGAGGATAATAAAGTGGAGGGAGCAGTAGGGCTCAGGAGTGATAGTGAGGTCATTGATAAAAACTAGTAGGGGACCTTTCAGTGAGAATTTTAACATTTCCTGTGTCCACCTGTCATGTGTTGAGGGGAGGCATGTTTCCATTTAAGAAGGATGCAGCGTCTGGCTAACAGTGGTGAAGGCAATGACACGCTGTTTTGGAGTGGGCATATTCTGAGTAGGAGGGAGGCTGAACAAAGCAGTCAGGGGGTTGGGGTCTATATTTTTGTTGAGGGCCTCAGTGTCCAGTATAATTCTTTTCCCCCACTGGCCCTCCAGGCCCATAGATCACAGTTTTACTGGCCCCTTGCATATTTTACTGGCCCAGAGTGAAAAAAGAGAAAAATTGCCCAATTGGTGCCCAATGCAGAGAGAGGTGCAGTGGAGCATGGATTCAGAGAGTCAGTTTTGTCACTTTTAATCAAAGTCAAGGGTGAGAAACTGATCAATTTCCAAGTGTTGAAAAAAAGTGTCTCCTTAATTTAAGGGATCATGTCTGGCATGATGTGAGGCGGAGGGACAGGTTTTTGGCCAGTATCTTACAATCAACATTTAAGTGAAACTGGTCATAGCTACTGCAACAGTAGGGTCTGTCTTCGGAAGCAAAGATATGTACCCCATAGACAAAGTTGCTGGTAACTGGCCTTCCTGAAAGGAATCATTGTACATCCCCGCTAGATTTGGGACTAATAATGTTTTCGACTGTGAAGCCGTTGGTGCCTGGGGGACATTTATATGCTTCCTGTATGTCGAGGGTGGAAATGGGGTCACCTAATCCCCTGGCGATGATTTGGGATGATACCAACTTTAGTGGTTTTGTTCATTCCTTTAGTGTTCCAGGAGATCAGACGCACTCCTCTACCTGTCGTTGTCAGGGGATTAACCATATAAAAAGTCTCATGATGGTGAGTTGACCTGGAACAGTGTAGTGCCTTGTGCGCCGAGGAGAAAGAGAGTAGGGGAGGTAGAGATGAGAGGACAAAAAAGAAACCATGTGAAAAGAGAGAAAAAAGAAAAAGAAAATACAAGAACAAACAAACAAACGCAACAAAAAACAACCTAACAACCACAATTGTGGCCATACCTAGAGCTACACCCAGAATATGAACCACGACTGTGCACCATAGCTCAAAGCTTCACTGCTACACTACTGGGTCCTCCTTCTCTAACCAAACAGTGGTCACCCCATCGATTGCAGATATAACCATATGGATATTTTGATTAAAATAAAATAATGAATAAATAAAACACAAATAATATATGCATATACACATGCATATATACATATACAGTATACATACACATACGCACAGATAAACACCAGCATAGATACATACTCACACATATGATAGAAATAATACAAAAATATATGTATATATTACACCCACACACAAATATACATCTACATACCTAAATGTAACTGTGGCTGTCAAGTCTCCAGAGCACCAGCTCTGGTGAGTAAGTCCACCGTGTGGTGCAGTGCTGGAAAGGGGTCTAAGGTCTGAGGGCTAGGGTCCCCAAAGTCCTCCATTAAGGCAGAAAATCAAACAGTTAATAGTCAAGTTACTTGGTTTGGCTGGCCGTGAGTAAACCTGGTTGCCAGCACGAGAATGAGGACCACCACAGTCTGTAATGCAACCTCAGCAGGCTTATGTGGAACAGTTAGGTTAGAGGACATTAGCTTAGCTATTCCAGCAGTCAGTCAGTCAGTAATAGGCATCCTTGGTTTATCAGAAAGTGTCTGATGAGCCCTATCTCACTACGGTGGCAAATCGAAGACGCCATCGCCAAGAACCTCTTCCAGTGGCTCAAAAACAGTAGAAGGAAGAGGACCCTCAATGGACTCATGTAGGGCCGTTATTTTGGTTTGGCAGTTTAACATTGCTTTATATTAGCATAGTATATGATGTTCCCAGAGCTAGTATACACTTGTCCTGTTGGTTGGTGTTGAACATGAGTGGAGCAATCTTCTGAACATGGTTTGACACTGTAGAATGCAGTCTAGCTTTGCTTAGAGTGTCAAGATATCTAGAAGTTAGTGGAGAGAGCTTTTTGGTGTTCTTCCAGGAGGCTAGCTACAGTCGCCATGTTGAATTTGTTGCTAGCTGGTCTGCTTGTGGTCATGTCAGTGATATGTGGCTCAGACTTACAATATTGCCCACTTGGTGGCGAGTTAAAGTGAAATTATGGAGTTTTGGAAGTTTAGATTTTAGAGTTTAGAAGTAAAAGTTACAGAAGTAAGACTCTACTCCATCATACACAACTAGCAGTCAATTGACCCGAGTCCTACAGGGTTGTACTTAAATTAGAGTCTTTGGCCTTCTCCCTCCTGTTTAAACCCATCTGGCTCTCTGTCAATGTTGGATCAGTCTTCCGATACCTGGGTGGGGTTATTTTGGTGAGCTCATGCTGCTCAGCATATAGGAACCTCTCATTTTCATAGTGGACCCATAACAATTTGGTCATGCGCTTGCACATGAGATAAATCATCTCGCAGATACACATGAAGATGCACAGCGCACTGGATATGACCATGAACAACATGAAGATCTTTTTCTCTGTTGGACGACTAATGAAGCAATCAACGGTGTTCGGGCATGGATCCAGTGAACACTTGGATAACCTAAAAGAAAAGAGTAGAGCCGATAGTTCTCTTCAATTTTAACGTTTTTCTGTAATGCTAAAGATGATTACAATTGAAAAGTAATGATACAAGCATTACCTGGGCAGGTCATATCCATGGTATATCCGATACAGAATGTAAAGAAATGATGTGTCGAATCCAGCTTTAAAGACCAAACTCAACAGATAAGTCCACCATAGCCCCCCTCTCTTCTTGCCAGGGTTGGCGTACAGGCGAGAGCCTTGGTGCAGCTCCACATATTTGCTGTCCTTTCCTTCACGGTATTTAACATGAGCTATCACCATCAGAGATGGGCAGGTGACAAAAATCAGCTGCAGCGCCCACAGACGTATGTGGGAGATGGGGAAGATGTGGTCATAGCAGATGGTGGTACAGCCAGGCTGGAAACAAAGTAAAGGAATTTTTAATAAACAGTTGCTTTTTCTATTAGGGCTGCAGCTAACGATGATTTTAGTATTCGAAGCTTCGATAGATTATTTCAACGATTCATCGATGCGTTGTTTAAGAAGTACTTTTGCTCGCCCTCCGTAACGACATCAGCTGTGCACGTTTATAGGTGATAGATGTTTATTAGTCCTTTCGGAAATTCATACTGTGTCATACAGCAAACATCAGACCAACAACCAGACAGCTGCTTTACCAACACAAACATCACCCGAGTGCTATACAAGCTATACTAAAGGCTCGTGCAGACTACACTGTGTGCCGTTCACACAACTTGCCGTCATATGATGGCAGTCTTGAAGTCGTTGTGGCGTTCACACACGCTGGTCTCCAAACCACGTTTTGTCAAGAAGACACAAGTGAAATGTGAAACGGGAAATGAGCGATCCTGCACACAGCTGTTGTTTGTTATTATACAGATAGCAATTATAAAGACAAAGAATATGGTTGAAAGGATGGATTAGTACATGCAGGTAGCAGGGATTGTCTGAGCTACAGAGAGCTGCAGGGGAGTTAAAAGGTGCAGCTCCCCGACACCCAGTTAACTCTTGACTGTGAGGTTACAACTCACGGCCCAAATGGAGAACAACAAACGCACGTGTGCACATTTTAAGCTGAGGACTGCGGATTACTTTGGCTAGCCTTCAACTCAACAAATAATCATGATTTCAGTTAAATGCTAAAGTTTCTGTTACTGTTACCTTGTCTGTGGTCGGCTGGCAGAACACCGGCTGCTTTCTGATAAGGTGCCATCGTGCTGTTCCCGAGGCGACATAAGTTTCGTTTTACGGTGGACGGACGGTAACATTACAGAGTTGTTGTTTTCTTTAGCTTGAAATAATCCCATACTTTAGACAGTTTCTTTTTTGTCCCTTGCTATTTTCTCTGTCTTCCTCCACTTTGCAAACAGGGCCATCATAATCATGGTGTTTACAGCGTAAGTGTGATGTGCGACAGTAATAAATGTCCCTGCAAAACACTGTGCTGTGTAGTTACATGGATTAAACGAAGCATCGATGAAAAAACATTTGTGTCGAAGCATTTTATTCATCGATTTTTTCGATATAATCGATGAATCATTTCAGCCCTATTTTCTATAATGCCTAGAAAGTCTCAGATGAATAAAATGAGTTGTATTTGTACCAGAGGTAAAAAAACAAACAAACAAGGAACCGAGTAGATTCAATGAGACAATAATTACTTATTTTATATCAGAGGTAATGCAACTGTCATGAAATGATAAATACAAAACAATACCACCTGTGCTGCCAGAATTTAATATTAGCTAGAGGATGTGATGCCCCTGTACTGGTTAAAACATATAATGCATCTGAAACTTCTTTTAAGGGATCTGTGACAAAGACAAATATCTTAACCAAAAAAACATTTTCTTTCCTGCAAGATTATAGACAAAAATCAAGTAAGCATTTTACACTTGATTTCTATTAGGATTACAACAGAGATTTAGTTTTCTGATGTTCAGAATCTACAAGCCACGGACAAAAAGAAAGCTGTACTACTAAAATGAATACTTTAATAGATAGTGCTGATTGCCTACCAGTTACCTTATGTTCTGTATGACAAAACGAAAGTGAACCTAACAAACTGACATAATTTAATTACTAATCTTCTAGTCACATGGGTAAGCGTACAAATGTGTTGAAGTCCTAATGGTGCTTTCAGACCAAAAGCGAAGCGAGCGTTCGGGGCAGTGAGTTTAAATACAAAGTCAATGCAAAGAGTCACAATTTCCTGTCGGGCGGCACACAAGCGGTGCGAAGTGACGCTAAGGGGGCGGTGCAGGTGACGCGAAGTGAAGGCAACACAAATATTTTCAACTCAAGCAAGAAATTTGCATGACGCTGAGTCGCGATAGCCCATCAACGTTGAGATTGTCCGTACGTCACCGACAGCTTCAGAGCGTTGTGTGGAGAGGGCCAGGCAGAGCGGGCAATGGAAAATCTGCTGGCTGGCAAAGAGCTGCTAAACTTGGGAGAGAGGAGCAGGGAACAGCACTCAACCTTTTGGACAAAAACACAGTCAGACTGGATTATGCTCTGAGAACTACGCCGTTTGCTCGCGGGAGGAGCTTGCAGTAAACTACTTATATTAAATTAGATTTTTACTTTAGTTTTTAGGATTACAACGTTGATTTATCTTCACTCGAGCTTCTCAGGTTCCAGTGTTGTTAGCGTCGTTTGGCACTACTTCATATTTATTTAAAAAACAGACAAAACTGGACATTGCTGGGGGAAAGCGAGGAGGTTGAACTACCTGGTGAGTTCAGAAAACACGTGTATGTAACTTTATTCCAGCTATCGTTGTACTTTACTGTGACCAAGTTAGCATAGCATAGCCCTGATCGATCCGAACTCCATTCAGAAAACAAACATTTTAGAAGTTGTTGTCCTGCTGACTTGCTGACAGACCTGACAAAGCATGAATTCATATATTTAACAAATCTGCATCATGTTGTAGTTCTTTCGGCATCAGTTTGGCTTTATTGCTATTTAATCACAGCAAAATGTTTACTTTGGGTTCATACAGCTGTAGTAATGGCAAGTTGTGTTTATTCGCGTTATCGCGTTGTGTGTGAACACTCAGCAGTTGTTCAGCGATAAAACCCCCGCGAGGAGAGCGTTGCGTGGATTAAATTCGCATTTGGTCAGAATGCCGCTTAGGAGGTCAGCACATCTCTTTAATAAAGCTGTCTGCACTGAATGCCAAGCTCTTGAAGGGCTACTCCTGCAATTTAATGTTTCAATTTGATAAAGTCGGGTGAATCATAAGAGACAAATTAAAAATAAATGTTGTTTCTAGAGCAGCAACATTAATGTTTGCAACAGCAAAGTCACTATATATAAACTCAAAATATGACATCACAATAGTGATTGAAGTTTAGAAAGAATAAAAACTCAGTCAACATCTTCCTCCTCCTCTCTGCAGTTATTCACTGCCTGCAGGTAACGTTACATGGTCGATGGAGGACCGGCTGGTTTGTCTCAGCCAGCAGCTGAGTTTACAACAATGTGCCACATTTTAAGACTACAGACCAGTCTATGCTTCAGACAGACAGCTTTCTATTTAGCTTGTTTTTAAATAAATCCCTGTGAGCCAAATCCTCAGATATCCCCCTGTTCTGAACGCCCTGTTTTTAACTGTTTTTTCTACTGATGGCTCGGTATCATGTCCTGATACACACATTAGAGAATGGTTAATCAGAAGACAGTGGATTTTGGAGCGGGGGCCTTAAAGAGACAGGAGCATCTACAGCTTGTCTCAGACAGAGGCTGAAATGAGGGCTTGCATGAAGTGCCAGTATAAGATACAAAATTATTTTTTTAGACAGAACAACAATATAGGACTGGAAATGCAGTATAATAGGGCTCCTTTAACATTTGAACCAGACAGAGCCAACCAACAATGTCCTATAGAGGAGTTAGGGTACAAAGATTGTGTCACATTGGTCACAAATGGTCAAACTGATAAACAGTCAGTCCTTAAAAGAACTTCATCATTAAAACTAACATGGTGTTAATGTGGTGCCTCCTAGTGAGGAGCTAATTTCTCCAATAAACTTTTAAAGCCTAAGATTTAAAGGTACAGAAGTGTTAGCAGACATAACAAAGTTGCTCCTCTGTCTTACCTGTTTAGTATTACACACAAAGTCTTTGCTCTCATCACCCCAGACGGGCTGCGCTGCCACCACAAACACCAGGATACGGAACACAAACACAATGGACAGCCAGATCCTCCCAAACGCAGTAGAGTATTTATTGACTCCGCTCAACAGATTCTGCAGTCCCGACCAGTTCATCCCTGCTGCTGCACTGGCCTGGGTGATAGAAACAAGTGCACCGTGTAAAAGAGAGGAATAAAGAAAAAGTTATTTTTCCACATCCTTGTGACAAGACACAAAACAGATCACAGCGTCATGTCTTCTAAATATCTTTGCTCTCTTACAATGATAAGGTTAAATTTAGCCTTTAGTATAACTTGTATAGCATTCGGGTGATGTTTGTGTTGCTATGGTTACGGATTAGCCACATCCTGCCCAATCCAACAGATGCAAGTAACTACACCCAGACCTGGGGTGTCTGGCAGAGCTTGCATGTGCTTGTATGAAATCATTATATGACACAAGAGAGGTAGGTAGAAACATAGTTTCATCTCGTGTCTGCAGGTGTTTCTTGATTGTACAGTTACAAACAGCAAATTGACTTGAAAGCCTGCAGACTTTTTTATGTTTCATAAATTGTTAGTCAAGATTATTAATGTTATCCGGCCCCTCACTAATGCAATTCCATGCTTCAGTAGTCATTACAACATGTACATAGGCCAGAGAAGATAGAGTCATGTTAAGCTCAGGGTGTAAAATGAATGCCTTTGTCAGCTGGCGGCAGTGGTTAATGGATAAATCAATATGTACTAGCTTTTTATAACTGACATATAAAATTGTGGAGATAGCTGCTATCTTTAGAATTTAAGTCCCACACTTTTTAAACAAGCCCATATGAACAGGTAACCCTTTAATTTAAAGGAATAGTTCAACATTTTTGGAAATCTGCTTTCTATTTGCGTAAAATATGGAGCTGGAGCCAGCAGCCGGTTAGTTTAGCTTGGCACAAAGACTGGACAAAGACGGGAAACATTTAGTCTGTCCAAAGTTAACAAAATGTGCTTACCAGTACCTTTAAAGCTGTAGTTCAGATCTGGTTCGTTGGATCTGTAGTGCAAGTGTTGAAACAACAGTTTGCAGTTTCATGGGACGTGGGTCATGTACCAGACTATTTATTGGCCGGAACCACTAACTTTGAGGAGTCTCCACTGGCTGCCTGGCAACTGCAAAATGAAACAGTGAGCTAGCTGTGTGCACCTTTTTTTGCTGTCTTCTTTCTGCTAAGATAAGCTAACAGGCTGTACTAACATGACAGTGGTATCAATCTTCTCATCTAAATCTTCTTCTCAGCAAGACAGCTATATTGTTGAACTATTCCTTTAAATTAAAGACGCATTTGCATGTGCAACATTTACAATTTCTTCAAACCATATACCATAAAGAATTAAGACCAACTACATTTACAATTACCACGTACACCTTTCCTGTGACAAAAATAATGATTCCACTGCACCACCTCTGCCTTAATCCAGACAACTTGAAAAAAAAAGTATGTTGCTAATGCAAAATAGCTCATTATGAGCCTAATTCTTAGGGACTAAAGGTTTTCCCACTAACAACCAATGTTCTTTATAACCAGCAGGCAGTGTGAAGCTAGCCAATGTTAGTGTTATTAGTTACACTTGTGCTTTTCCCGCTATTATTGCCAAAGAGAATTTTTTAATACAAAGCAAACTGCTACGACTCTGTTCCAGTGTTACATAATATAAAATGCCGTCTAACGTGTCATTTGTGTAAACTAATGACTAATGATTTGTTGAATTCCTTTTACAAAGCAATTGCTACTGAAAATAGCCTTATAATGGTATCACATGACAAATGCAATAGCTTTTAATGTAGCTGGCCCTGAAGTGTGTATACATAACCGTAACAGCTTTTTTAAGTTGATGTATGATGTTTACTCTTTATCACTGTGCATTTGGACACAGGGGTTGTACGTGTGGTATTGAAGTGCTGCATTTTTTAATAAAAGTCAACCCACTTTTATTCATCCATCTGAAGCTAAATATGGCTACATGTGCTTTATTTTTTAACCCAAACTGTCTTTATTTATCTTTATCCATTCTAGACACTGTGTGTGTTAATAGTGTCATGTTGTTGTTTCTATGTGCTGCTGCTGGTGTTCATCCAGCAGCAGCGGACAAGCACATAGCAACATAAACAGTTGTGTGTGTGCGAAGGTAATGAGGTTCATGAATGAAACAGTCCGATGTCATTCGTCTAGTATAAATATAACTTCAATTGTATGTGTGTGGTGTCAGAGTTTATGTTTCCCAGATACTGTGTTGTGTGTGTGTGCATTTGTGTTTAACTAATGTCTTTGTCCTTACAAACAAAATCTAATGTAAGCCTATACATTCAGTGCACAGTTTTCTATTGAACTCTCATGGTTTCTATGGTACATGGGACTAGCATTGTTCAGACAGAAATATGATGTATTCTTTTTTTTTTATTCTACAAAATGCCGTAACATTTATATATGTATCTACCGTTAATTCAGTATTTTACCACATGAATGTTCTTTTTTGCTGTCGTCAAATATCAAACCTATACTTGAGTGCAGAACCTGTTCACCACCAAAGCTTTAGTCACATTTAATGTTTACATAATTTTCAACAAATGTATAGGTGAGGCTCCATCGAATTTAGTATAAACTAGTGAATGTTGAAAAAAGTGAAAACAGCTTTTTCGATTATTTCGCTGGTTATTTTTCTCCCAGTGATCATACTTGAGTCACCATATTACTGGTCGTAAAAAGGGATTCAAATATGGAAACACCATCCTTACGTCTGTATGGTTTCTGGAGCAGTGCAGGCTCACGCACTGTTTAGAAAAGAGGGAAATATTTAGATTTCAGAAAATAGGAGTGGCTCAGCGCTGAGGACTTTTCGGTGTTAACACTAAAATCTGCATTAACTCTAAGTCACATAGGCTAAATCAAAAGCACCAATGACGCTCGTGGTGATATTACTCTGACAGTGACCTTTTCATTAAACATCAATGTTCCTGTAAGTGGTAAATAACTACTTGGTCCCCCATACTACACTGCTTTGATTATAGGACTGTTTCAGAGTCTCCATTAATATTTGTATAGTTTTTAACCTCCAAGTTTTAGCCTCAAGTTTGTATCTTAATCATAGCAGAAGGAAATGAAACTGGTGATTTTTCCCTTTGTTTGCTTAAATAAATATAGAATAGATACAGTGACAATTAATGGAAATCCAACAAAAAGAACCTTACCTAGTGCTGAAGCACGGCTCAAATACTCAAACCCAATATATCGACACCAACTGGAGAAGAATAACAGCAAAGTGAAAGTGAAGTAAAAACTTCTTTGAGCTATTCAGTTCCTTTTTCTCTCAGTGTCTCTCGCCCTTCCCTCAGAAATCCTCCCAAACCAGTTTCAGCAATTGCTTCCTCATCAAACACACCCACAGACGTTACATGCCCTGGTTTGTCAGTTTGCAGGATACAGGGAGACACAACTCCCTACAAGCCATGTAACCATGTTGTTACACCCTTCAAATAGGTAAAGAAAGAGACACATATGCTTTATAGAGCGGGGAGACAGAACATCCATCCCTGTCAACCAGAATACTTGTGGTGTATATATATGTGTGTGTGTGTGTGTGTAGGAGAAAGCGAGTAAGGAGAGAGATGCCACACCCTCTACATTTTTACAGAGCAATGCAAATGTGTTTTTACAATGTGTTCACTCGGCAGACAGACAACAGAATTAAATCAGATTTAATTCAATCCAGTGTATCAAACAGCCTTTCGAACTTGCAACTGTTTGTTTGAATTAAAATGACTGAATAAAATAAATGCTGTGATATGTTTACTAGGTCACAATGTATGCAAAAGTAAATGCAAATGTAAGTCCATGCAAAGTGACAAGACACAATGTAAAATCTGAAAAAGGGTTCAGAGGCTGTGAATATACAATTGCACGAAGGTAGAATAGATGAAGATAAAAACATAGGCTAAATGAGAGTAACAAGCGTGAACATTTGATTAAATCTAAAACATTTAAAACAGTACATGTGCATATTTATGGTTTAAAACATTGTAGTAAATGTTGTCATACCAGCAGGCTAAAGGTTGGAGGTCAAGATGCAAACCATACAAGAGGCAGAACTGGAAGACATAATACCAGTGCTGCTTTCAGTGCTGAACCACACACCATCTATGAGGCACATATGGAAAGGTAAGGCTGCAGGCCTTCTAAGCTGAAAGAAAACACATTTAAAAATGTCTGTTTTCTAGTTTTGTGTGTTTTGTCAACATGAAATTCAGGTAGAAACCCTCAGTGGATTAAATAACATTTAAAAACATTCATACATTGCATCACCCAGTTCCCTCTTGGTAAGTTTACTTTGCTGTGTGTAAACACTAGATGGCAGCAATGACTTCAACATCATACAACATGCTTGCTTGCAGTGTACTGTACCATACAGTATATTAAATACATATTACTAAGAAAGTTAAATTTTCAGTAATGCCTGAATTGATAAAATGTGACAGGTAATATGTATTTGGCCCAGTGTATGCAAGACCATGCAAAGCCACAAGACAAAATTAAAATGTAAAAGCTGAAACGTCTTTATAAGATGTGAATATTTGTGAACATAGTTGTATGAAAGTAAAATAAATTAGAATAAAAACGTAAAATAAAATAATTATACATATTTCTAAAAAAGTTTGAATTTTCAGTTAGGCCTATGCCTGAAATGATAAAATGTAACATTTAGAAAAGATTGACACCAATTAATTAATGTCAGCTACATTCCTGTATAAACCTGGCTTCACCCACGCAAATACATAAAATAGCAGTTTGTAAAATGAACCAACGTTACGGGTGCTTGGGCTATTTAAAGTCCAGTATATTCATTTTTACAAAATTCGTCAAAGCAGCAGGAGACAGCCTGGCTACTACCGGATGTGTAGGGAGTTTGTCTACAAATTTAGACGGTCGTGGTGTTTTTAAAGGCGTATTTTTTTAAATCAGTTTTATTGTTGAAAGCTTGCGGCCGGAAGTTGCGACGTTTATTGAGGCTAACTCGACATTTCTGTTCAACATGTCTTCTTTGCAGACTCTTTTTCATTAGAGGCGTCTGGATTTCTCCTGAAACTACTGCGTTTAGTAAGTAGCTTACGTTATGTCAGTCGTGTGTGTGTGTTTGACGTCGATATAGCAACTGTTACGACTGTGTAACTCACTACGTTAACAAGACCACCGACTGACTGTCCTTTGGCTGTTATTGAAAACCGGTGTCGTGCAAGGGACACCGGCGAATGCTTTAGCCTGAAATGTGTTAGCTTGCTGTTTATTCTGGGAACATGGTTGTTGACCTGTTTACATGACCAGGCTGGCGGCGGAGCCTCTAATGACATATGGCGTTGTTGATTAGTCCAGTGAGGTATGGTTAGTTTCTAAATTATGTGTTAACATTTTGTCTTAAATTGGGTACAACCTTTGTTGTATATAACGTTACAGTGATGTATCTGCATTTGAAAAACAGCTACCGTTACCAGTTATCGTTAAGCTAGCTGGCTGTTGGGTAACGTTAGTGTTAACGTTCATTTAACGTTAGAACATCGCCACAGCTAAGTTAACGTTCAAAGCCAGACGGTGCGAACGTTATAGTTACTGCTGTAAATACATAACATGGTTAACGTTAGCTAACCTTGCTAAATAACGTTATTGAGCATGTAACAATGTTTAAGTTACGCCTGACTGTAACGGTAAGGTTAGTTAGCGTTAACTATTAATTCAATGCTGTCGGGAACTGTGCAAAATCAAATCTCTTGCCGGTGACACTGAACGCCGTAACGTTAGCTGTGAAACGTTAACGTTACATTATTTCGAGTGGCCACAATGTCAAACTCTTATGTAAAATCAGGTAATTTAGAATAACCTCATGTTGTTCCGTTATGCAGAGATAGAAGCTGCTTTGTGGATCATTTTAGTCAGGCTTTATGAGTTAACCGTCCCGTCCACTGGATAGCTATACACATTAGCTAAGGATCACGTTTGGAAAGGGAGGTTAATGTGGCACGTAGCATAATGCAGGGATCTGTTAAAGTCAGGTAACCTCAGCTGAGCAATATTGACATGGTTTTCCTTTAGGTTAGCAGCAAGCTAGCGGGCCGTTGTCAGCCAGGACCCAGAAAAGCAGCATCATCATCAATGGTGTGTCTACATCCCGGAGCCGTCACATTTTCCTGTGTCCGCTCAATGAACCATCTCCTCAGCTCTCATCAAAGTGAGTATATTACTACCAGGAGTCCCTGCAACACAGTCTCTTAATGTGCAATGTGTTAGTAGTTACACATCACACTTGCATTCCATCACTCTGTCACTTTCAGGCTGCACATGTATGGCGTTTGTGAAGCTTGGAGGGGAGTTTTGCCAAGCCCAGCACCTGCTGCTTATTGTGGACAAGTGAACAAGAGACACCAGGCGCAAACACTGCCATTCACGCTCACAGGTGTGTGCTGTAATAAATACTGGTCATTATGAAACAAATTCTCACTTTTTACCATTTTACAGTCCGTGGACAGCAGAGAGTAACGATACACTGAATTGGCAGTGATACAAATACTGAGTACTTGTTTAGCTCGTCATTTACATCACCCAGTGTTGGCCTATGAAAGACAGGAACAAGGGCATGAAGTTAAAACAGAGCAGCCCTTATCAGATAAACCAGGGGTTTTCAAAGTGTGAGGCGGGCCTCCCTAGGGGGGCTCCAAACAGTTTCAGGGGAGGCTCAGTGAATGGAAGTGAAACAATATTACATTACTTATTGCATTAGTTATCAAAAGGAGATCACATAGAATAGCTTGCATGTGTGAGAGTTCAGAGATACAGTAGTTTTTGGGAACTGTTTTCCCCCCATCAGAGTCAGAAACTAATAAATGCCTTAGGAGAGACCTTTTTAAAAACTTATTTGGTGTAGTCAGAAGTTATGTCAAACAAAAATATAGGCTATTATGACTCAAATGTTGATTGTCTATGGGATTCAGTAATATAACCATGATCCCATAGGCATCCAGGAATTGATCGGAACTTACCAAGTAAACTAAAGATGTGGTGGGGTGGGCACCGTTTCCCAAGCTTTGTCTGAGGGGAGGCCCGCAGTCTCAGACTTTGAAAACCCCTGAGATAAACCATCTAATTCACACAAGAATCACAGGTAACACATGTTATTGAGAATTAGGTCAGTAGACAAAAATATAATATTCATGATAAAGTAACAAGCAAAAACCAGTGTGGAAGGCTACTTTTAGTTAGGCTTGCTTAAAGCTGTGTAAAAACGAATGACCGTCTCTGTGTCCTCATAGGTCCCCACTGCCATCCTGTTGAAACCATATGAAGACAAACCAACCTTCAGCCTGTCACCTGTCCTGGGGAGTAGAGGGAGCCATTGGCTTTATCCAAGCTTCCTCACAGCTTTTCTCCTTTCCTGCTGTGTCTTTCTTCTTCTACTCTGATTCAAACAAGTCTTCTCTGAATGGGCTAACAGATTTGAAAGAAAGGAAGGACAGATCTTTGTATCGTCTTCATTTTTTTTCCTCTGGACCCCGAGTGTCTTCCCTGCCAGTCTTTTTGACCCCACTCTGCTAGATCGAAATTTTAGTTTTTAACCAAGCCAAGTTTAGTTTTTCCTTCGTTGCCAAGAAAGGTTTTGATTCCCTCCGGCCCCCTATTTTTTTCACCAAGAAATTTGTCTTGTCTTTTTAGTTTTTTATTCAGACTACGTTTTGTCACCAAAGGAATAGGATATTTATGTTTTATTCCCATAAATCATCAGTTTTATTTTTAAACAATTGGGAAACTTTCACTTTGGTTCCTGTCTGTTACTCCTTTTTTTGAAACACAGTGCTCTTCTGATCTTTTTTTCTTCTATTAACAAACCTTTGTGGGTCTAAAAATGAACCGACCGGCTCCAGTGGAGATCTCTTATGACTGTCTGAGATTCCTCATTACGCATAACCCCACCAATGCACAACTGGGAAGGTTTATAGAGGTAGCATACGTTTGAATAATTCATATATATCCTTCACTCATTTTATTTTATTTCTAGAGAAAGCAGCGACATGGTGTGTTTAAAAAGTGTGTTCTGATGTGTAGGATCTGAAGGCATTTGGAGTAAACACCTTGGTGAGAGTGTGTACTGCTACATATGACAAAACACCAGTGGAACAAGAAGGCATACACGTGCTGGTAAGTGACACACCAGATTAAGCCTACTCATTTACCCGCTAACAAAGAAGTCCAAATGTACGTAATCATCAAACTAAGGAACATAAACTTCATCTACTGGTCAGTCAGACACAAATGTTCAGCAGGACAACCAAATGCCTCCATAAGCAGTTTGAATAATAAAGTGTGGATAATAGAAAGTGCATTCTTCCATTGCATCTGCACTGAAAACTAGTAGCAGTAAGCACAGCAGGCCTGATCTTAAAAGGTTACTGGTGCAGGGAATTTTAGGCTTAAGCAACTGAACAGCGACCAAATGAAAATACTAAAGAAACGTTTGGAATGTTTCTGATGGTGTGATTTGTAACTTGCAATAGGTGGTGTAGGCATTCGCAATATCTAATAGCTTGCTTACTGTGGGGAATACTGTACTGTGCAATATCTACCACTACGGTTGCTGTGGGTAAATGCACAACTGTTGGGAATTATGTAGTAATCTATGTTTCTATACTGTGACCATATGTGTAGATGGCTGCGAAAATGTGTTGTGCGACTGTATATGTTGAAAGCTGTCAAATGTTATTCTAATGCAATTGTATGTGATGGCACAGATGGTTGTGTACTGCCAGACGCTGTGGTCTCTTGAATGCCCAAGACAGATTTCTCCCAAGGGAGACAATAGAGGCTAGTCCTATCCTATTCTGGATCTAGGATGTCATTTTGCTATCTCTGCGGCACAGAAACTTGTTAAAGGTGGACTCTGGCCATTAAGTCTGTCTAAGCATAATCATGAGAACAAAAATATTTACATTTGAGGACTTTGCAACAAATTGATGAAATCAAAAACGACTTGATCTCCCTTACAGGATTGGCCATTTGACGATGGTTCTGCCCCCCCAGACCAGGTGGTTGATGATTGGCTGAGTCTCCTGCAGACAAAGTTTAGAGAGGAGCCTGGCAGCTGTGTGGCTGTGCACTGTGTTGCTGGACTAGGACGGTTAGTATTTTTAATTTATTTTTGCTTGCCAAGATAAATCAATGTCAAGTCAGCTTTTGTTTTTTTCCAGATGCTTAACTGATCGAACTGGCATGTTGTCAGTTGTCACTAATGTTGCATATGGATGCACCAACCTGATACTGACTCAGATAGCTAGATCGGGTATCGTGACAAGGTAGCCGATCTATAGGGCTGAGCTGTTCAATTAAATTACGCTTGTACTACGCGATGTGTCAGCAGTGCCCTGGTAACATTTTGCTAGGAGAGCTAACGTAGCATGGAGGGAGCTAAATACAAGGGGTCAACAGTTTGGAGATATTTCATGCATGCTATGCCAACAAGTTCTACGGCTACTTGCAATAGCTTCAAAGTTAGGAAGCAGTGTTTAAGTCAAGCCTGATATTTCCTTACACATAAAAGAATGATTCCCAGTCTCTTTCACACAGTAAGGAATACTGCTTATTCGTTTTATACTGGTATGGGATTGGTACTCGGCATCGGGGGATATCCAAAGCCCAGGTATTGGTATTTGTATTGGGACTGAAAAAAGTCGGATCGGTGCATGCCTATCGGTGCAACCTCTGTGTTACTTTTTTTTTTAAAAAGACAGAGCCCAAACTGAGTTGAAACACTGAGTTAAAGCCTTGGCTTCATACAAGGCTCAATGGCCGTAGGATTGTTGCCCTAACTGATGGTTGTACAATGTATTTGTTGTTTGTCTCAGAGCTCCGGTGTTGGTGGCGCTGGCTCTAATTGAGTGTGGGATGGAATATGAAGATGCTGTTCACTTCATAAGACTGTGAGTACCAAACATTGATTCTACTGTGTTACTTAATTGTACTAACAAGTGCTCTGGCTTTGCATGTATCATATTCAGTAGCATCCCTGTAATTGCTTACACACCTGACATTCTTCTCAGACATTTCTTTAAAAGTTTCTTGTGTCTCATTTATGTTGTCAGGAAGCGCCGTGGAGCGTTCAACTCCAAGCAGCTGCTTTACCTGGAAAACTACAAACCTAAACTGTGTCTGCGCTCCAAAGATGCAAACGGACAGAGCTGCTCCATACAGTAGGAATCTACAACCCCACACATCTTCATAGGAGACTTTCATCTTTTGATGTTAATTGGAAAGTTGACATGTTTGGGTAAAATATATATTTTTTTTGGTATTATTAAAACATGAAATTTATTCAAAGCGCTTCATGTATTTCCGAAATGTCAAGGTCCTTACGTCAAAGTTCTGGAAATCTTCTAAAAACATAGACAGACAACTTCTGCTTTTACATCAAAAATTTACCTAGAAAGTGGAGGTGTTAAAAGGTTTAATTTCTGCTTCCTGGTCTGTAACTTGGATATTTAGCAAAAATACACAAATACTTAGCCCATTAAAAGTAAACCCAACAGTTAAACAGAATTCATTTTAACTGTCAGCATCACTGTGAAATCAAAAGTTGAAAACATTTATTCCAAAGGCTACGCTTGGAAATCCTTGTTACAAGTGCAGCAGCTACAATAAATGCTGTTGATGACAATAGACAGATTTCAAACTTTGACATTGGGATCAGACATTGAAAATTAAGTGTCAGTAGCAAAGTATGTTTGACAGTTGATTAATTTTTGCGATGTTAAAGTGGCCTGCAGCTTGATATTTGTTTTCTACGCTACAACACTACAAATGCTGAATAAATAGTCGGCAGTATGTGCTTTCAAGAGGCTTGCTGGTTTATTGCACATCAATCCACACAGCGGTTTAGACTGATTTGTTAAATCCAGTCTTTCCTCACTGGCCAAATCAATGTCCTGCAGCCAGAATGTGGCGCAGAAGGTGACATGAGGGAAAAATATACAGTGTTTATGTTGATTTGCTTAAAAATTAGAATTTTAAAAGATTTTTTTAACAAAATGTGCCCTCAGTTTGATGCCAATATAACATATGCTGTATTAAACAACACTACAATCAACTTACCCACTGTAAGCTGTAGACGCACAGCCTGCTTCTCTAGAACAAACAAACTTGAGCTGGCTGTAAATAAATTTGACACTGTCCTTTGTAATGTCACCGTGGCATTACGAAGGACAACATGTTTAAACATCAGTGGGTGAATGTATTCATAAATCACTACTTTATGGTTTTGATAGATTGTACTGTTTACATTAGCTAATAAGTGTAAAGAACACAAATAAAACCCTCAATAAATAGTAATTAAAATATTGGTACTTCATTGGCCACACAATGTTGAGCAACATAGTGCATGATGGGTTGGCAGCATACAGTATGTGATATTAGTCTTCCAACAGTTTAGCATAGATTATATTAGGTGGTAATTGGGTGAATACAGTCTGGAATGTACTGTTGAATGATAGTAGGCTCCATGCAAACACATGAGCATGAACTATTTAAGATGGTAGAGAAATGAGCCAGCATTTAACAAAGTGAGCTTTAGTCATACAAACGTAGTTCATTTTGGTGCCCCAGGTGTCATTACTGAACAGTTAAACGTACTAATGGGACAATCTCCCGAATACTTCGTATATTCCTATTACAACCACCATAGAACAGGACTGTGGAGCCAACATGGCTGCCACTGAAAACTGAGTGGCCATAGTTCTTGTCTATCTCCGGCTCTGTACGTAACTTAGCTGTCTGGTCAGCTGCTGTGTTTGTAAAATGCTGTTGGTCTTTGTGATCTTATAATTTTTTCTATAGGTTTTTATTTTCTTTCCCTGTACCTTTATCTGTTTGTACTGGTTATGTTTATTTATTCATTCCACAGTGTTTCTTTGTGAAATGTCTGTCTGCTTGAACAAATCTGTTAGTCTTCTTGGAAAAATTAAAGTGTTTAGTACCATAACTTCTGCTTGTCGCAGAAACTATTTTGAAAGGCATCCTAATTGTAGTTTAATGTGTCTGTCTGTATTTTGTTGTGAGCTGAGAAAACAAGTGATACTTAAATTGATCGAATTCTCCAAATTCTTTTAAGATTGAGGTAAAAGCCAACTAGACAACTAGTGTAGTACTGATAAGTTCCACCTTGAATAATCAGTCAAATTACATAAATATATCTGATCAGAGGTTGACGACAATGCCATAACTCTGCATAATGAAAAGTCAGGAACATCATATCACTGGTTACCTATTCCCAAAAGCATATTTTTATTAATATTTGAAAATGAAGCTTTACAAACTGCCAGGCTGCTTCTACAACAGTCCCAGGTCACAGTGATTGGACTACATGTGGGGCTGTAGCTGAAACGTGGCAGCTGCCCAACGTGAGCCTGACCTGTGTGTGTGTGTGTGTGTGTGTGTGTGTGTGTGTGTGAGTGAGTGTGTGAGTGAGTGAGTGAGTGAGTGAGTGAGTGAGTGAGTGAGTGAGTGAGTGAGTGAGTGAGTGAGTGAGTGAGTGAGTGAGTGAGTGAGTGAGTGAGTGAGTGAGAGATTGCCTCTGGCTGTGGTGATGTGTGAATGTGGCTGTCAGAATGGATGGTGAGCAATCACACTGAGCCAATGGATGATTCAAGGCTGACTGGTTTTATTGACTGACCTGACAACACACACACACACATGAACTAACCTTGAACAACAGAGCAGATAAATATGCATCTGTGAAAGAAAATAGAAAATGTTGCTTTCCATCACTGCCTTCATTCATGTTCATGTCCACACAAACACCAACTGGCTGAATTTCACATTACTTCCTGGAGTGGGTTTTCAAGACAGCTGAGATGCGTTTGGCTTAATTTGTACAGTGATACAGACAACTCAAACCAACAACAAAAGCTTTTCTGATAAATATGAGGGTTCTTGGAGTCATGGCTGTTATACTATATAGCCCCTCCAAACCAAACAACTTCAAGCCTTAAAACCCATTTTCTGTGTAAATAATGTTAAAAGTTTATTAGGTACACCTAGCTGACAGATGTTTCTATTAGTTAGTGCACCCAATTTATATGAAGGGAAGATTTCTCACAGGACTGTTCTAGGTTTTAGCTAGGTGTACTGAATAAAATGACAACGGAGTGGAAGGGATAAATCAAAAATTGGGAACAATAACTTGTAGTCGCTTGTCACAAAGGCAAACGGTCACTCATATACCAGTATTCAAATGAAACAAACAGACTTCACACTGATATGCAGAGATGAAAATAAAACATTCACTCCTCCCAGAGGCAAAGTTCAAATGTTTCCATGTTTGGCCTGAGTGTTGGTTGCTCCTGTGGACAGTAGATGGCGGTAATGTCCTGCCAGATAGTGAACTTCATAATAAAGTCATTTGCATTCAGGTTAAGGTGTAAAAAGAACTCTTTCTCAATCTTTTAAATGTGTTTCAGGGACGTTGAACAATGAACCAGTGTCTCTTCACAAGGTTGAACACAGTACAGCAAAAATAACCTGTTAAAGTCCTACAGCACAGAGTGGCAAAGGAACACTAAACACATGTCAGCAAAGTTACTACTGAACTGTATTATTATGGTTTGTACAATGTGACTTTAAAATGATCTGTTAGAGCGCACACACACACATACATGTAGGTCTACAGCGTCCTGGGCAGCAGAAGACTGTATCAATAATCAGGCACACCATTTCCTCAAACGCCTCGCTTGCGCCTGACAAGACCTCTGCGATCTGACCGGCCTCTGACATTACACCTAAAATCTCTAAAGACTTACAATTACATTGCAATAATAACACACAGGCTGCAGAACAAACTGTCACTCTCTTTCTCTCTCTGGATAAACACTGCCTGCCTAGGAGACTGCATCAAGAGATTAGGTGAATTGTTAGGTGTTGCGTCAGGTGTGGCGACACAATGTTTCGCACCTGCCAGCATCAACTTCACTGAACCCTACACGGATACGCCACTCTAGACGTGACAGCACCACACGTGCCTCTACATGTAACTAAATGTCCTAAGTGTTAGGTGTTGTGTCAGACGTTGCTCGATAGTGCAGCTCACCTCATTATTGTAGCTTCAGTCAACATTCACCCTGCTTCAACACCTAACAAGGTTAAAGGATCATTGCTGTATTTTTGAGGTGTTTTTTTTTTTTTTTTTACATATCTTGGTGTCAGGATGACTCCTAGGTAGAAAAAGTTTTCGTATCACTGCAGTACAGTGCATCAACTTGCTGATTCCTTCAGGCAATTGCGCCTGTCAAAATTATGTCCACAAAAAGTGCTTCATTTTGCCATGACAAGCTCAGACTGTTATGCAAGGTGATGGTGTCTAACAACATCCTGGAAAGGATCCCTACGGGACAGCTCTCTCTCTGAAATCTTGTGAGAGATGAGATGTTGCAGGAAGACCATGTTGGAAATGTGCGTCAGAGTTGGAGAGAAGAGTTTGTTGTGTTGGAGTAACGTTAGGAAAGAAAGTCTTACTAGCATTTCTTCTATGTACACAACAAACTCCTCTCCCTCGTTTCCTGCAATAACTGGCCTGTAACAAGATCTCAGAGTGAGAATTGTCCTGAGCGAGCCTTCGGTTTCTTCTTAAAAACAGGGTGTCACTGGGAGTCACTCGTAACGATCCTTTTCCATGATGTTGTCAGACACCTGATACAACAGTCCAAGCCTGTCGGTGACAAAAAGAAGCACTTTTTCTCTGGGCAGAATTTTGATGTGCGCAATTGCCCCGAAGGAATATGTCGCAGCCAGTTCGTGGCTGCCAGCTGAAGCCATCTGCACAGATTCCAAAACCTTTTGTACCTATTAGTCATTTTGACCCCGAAATATGTGAAAATAGGGCCCAGGTTTAAAAATACCAAAATATTCCTTTAGCTAGATTAGGTGGAGAGATAGTTAGACAGGCAGGTACGCGTCTGAAGTACTGGTGAGCATGTACTGAAATGGGCCCCCCATAGGGGACAGCTCTGCGATAATCTCCTCAGTATATGACAGCTGAACATCTCTAAACTCGCTGTAAGCTACACAAGCCTGTTTGTGTGTCTGCATGTGTGTTCAATGTCCTACAGACTCAAAAATTCCTCCTATTAATATTAAAAAAAAAAATTGAGATGGAGGGATATAAAGAAAGGAAACAAGAGCCTGGGTTAGAAATGCATGTGAGTGGTGGAAAAAAAACACTGAATTAAACACACACACATCCTGTCCATCCAGACAACTCTGTATGTCTGTTGAGTGGGAATATTATGAAAAAGTCACATAGTGTAAATGAGAACACTAAATTGTCACTAATTTTGCTGCAATACTTAAGGGGAACGTTGTTGCTGCTCACACGGCCGGGAGAGGGCGCTCTCACTCAAACTAGCAGAAATGAACATATCCGGAACATATAGATTTTTATACTGGTGATTGCTCCACCACCTATTTTCGCTACATATTTTACTGAGCCTATAGGCTATTAATCGTGAGGAGGAGGAGGGAGGGGAGGAGGAGAAGACCGGGGGCAGATGGGAGGGATGAACGGGACGGTGACCCAGTTCACCCCGCAGACCAAGCCGGAGGTCCGCCTGCTGACTGACCAAAGGATGAAATCAGTGACATTCTGATAATGAAACTACAGCTGGTGTTTCCAGGTTACTCACGATCAGCTGTATTTCTGCTCCCGGTGTAAAACAGAAAAGTGTGTGTGAGTGAGTGTGTGTGAGTGTGTGTGAGTGTGTGTGTGAGTGTGTGTGTGTGTGAGTGTGTGTGTGAGAGAGAGAGAGAGAGGAAGGAAGGAAGAGGGAGGGACTGGCAGAGGAAAGTGGATAGGAGCTGGAGTTTTAGTTTTCTGAGCATCTGGATATCTGGCCGGTTACGCAGACAGAGAAGAACAATTTGCGTGTATGGGAAGCTCCCTGAAATCGGTGGGAAAGACCGAAACAGCAGAGTAGAAAAGAGTGGAGGAAAGTAAGGAGGAAGTTATTTTTCTAACGGGACAGGAGGAGCTGACCAGCAGGAATGTTGCCGGTGAGTTTTCATTGATGAACTGTATCAAACAGGATGTGCTTCGTGGAAAACGTATCGTCTCTGCCAACATATAGACTATTTTATCTAACTTTAAAAAGATACAGCTACAGTTGTGAGGCTTTTCCAATGAGTCAAAAATTGGACATTAAAGCTAGAGCTAACAACGAGGCTTTTAGCTTTTAAAAAAATCATTATAAACCTAGGCTACAACATTCATCTCATACATTTATGGAGCATTATAAAGATAGTATTGGAATAATTGTTTATTTTCACAAGTGATGGACAGGAACGCAAGGAGACTTTATGACAAATAGTTTCAATTGACGTGTAGCCATTAAGAGAGACTTTAGAGAAACAAACGTTTGAACACTTAAAAACCTGGTCTGTGTGTTTCAGCTATATTAAGTTGCCACATGTAAAAAGAGCAAAACCGGAAGTTGTGCGCTCTGTTTTCTAAATGACAACTGGCCATGTAGAGTGGACTATTAGAGTAATAGAGAGTAATAAATAATCCTTCGATGGGGCTACTTTCAACAGGAAATGAGGGGAAGCCTACAGCGTAGGGTTTTTAAGTATGAAAAGGATGAGGACATTATTAGCAGCTTCAATTCTTTTAAAACAAAATTAACAAGTGATCACAAATAATATCAGTTTTCTATTATTCTGGCTAGTAAAGGTGGTTTCTCAAATATGTAGCAATCCGATAAATCTGTGCCACTGTTAAATGTTCAAAAATATGAGATTGTTGCTGTGAATTGTCATTTGGCTATATGGCATATATATATATATAGGCTAGTATTTTGTGTGTGAAGTTTTGGCAGGCCTACGACGTACATCTAAACCTTACATTTACCACCACATATACCACTTTGGGGCTGGCTTTGGTCCGCTGTCAGCTCTGGACAATACACTGAAGATATAGAGGTGTGTTTACTGCAGAGAGAGACAGAGAACACTTCTACCTTGAACTTTGACCTCACCCTG